AATCTAAATTTAAAACTTAAAACTATCAATGACCATTATAACAGTCCATATTATTAGTAATACAATATGATTTTGGGTAGGTACGTGCAATAATATCTCATTCCCATCCCTATATGCCATAAACCTCTTAAGTCATAACTGTCCAATCAATAGAATGCTATTGCTTCACACCCATAATATCTTAAAGTTAGTTTTTTTCTTTTCATGTATCTACGATCTACCTAATTATTTATCAATGTAATAAATTATAAAACAATTGTTAATACCATTATACGGTTTATCTATATATGTGTTACTTTAAATTACCACTAGGCGTAGAATGTCAAAATAAAATAAATAAAATAGTAAAAATATAAAATATGCATTAATGTACTACATTGAATAACTATGAGAACCATATAATACTAATTAGGTTCAATTATGCCGCTCTTCTTATTTACAATAATATAATATAATAAAACAAAATATTCATCGTACGTATTATATTATATTTATAAACACAGACTACAACACAGGCCACGTATCGACTGAAACTACAAAAATTCTTTACATTATTGGTTTGTATTTGTTTTAAAATATGTTTTCGGGCATCTGGACGTCCTAAACAAACAACATTTCTCGACTGCGTGGTAGTGAGAATACTGCGATGGGAATTCGCTATGTATAGTATTGTCTTGTATACGTTATGTTTGCAAAATTCAATAATAAACTTTTTTCATATCCGCGTCGTCTCTCGTATTCGCCAGCAGACGAGCGCTATGTAAACATAAACAAATAATACACGAAATACGCGGGTATGTCATAGGTCAAGACGCCCAAATTTTGTTTGAAAATAATCAATATTTCTTGTCTTAAGAACGTAGGAAAGTATATATTCGGTATAATTAATACCACTCGGGAGATCGAAGACAGTAATAATTTTATACATATCCACAATGATGAAGACAGTAAGAGCTCGTATAATATTATGTAGGTTGTAAATCCAATGTCGAGGGTATTTTATCAATAAAAAAATAAAAAAATAAATTTATGTAGGTAAGTAGGTTTGTACAATAATATTAAATTCCTAATAAAATAATTAATACATTTTTTGTGTATGTCATATTTTTTAAAACTCAATCAAAAATAAATCATCTGTTGACAAATATAGGCAGTGTATTAATCATCACAAGCATAAATAAAATTAATTAAACCATTACAATGAAAACAAGTAAATTATTACCATTAAAGCTTTTGAAATATTTTAGTGCACAGAATGAGTTTAATTTTAATGATGACATATTTTTCTTAAGTACCAAAGTAAAAATATAAGACTATTTTATGTCAGTATTTATTACTTGGCAATGTTACAGAGTTGTATTTTTTATAGTATTTATTTTGGACATTTTTTGGCTCTACCTAAAATGCAGGGCTTTAAATGTTTAATACTCCTTGAAAATATTTAATAATAAAATGGATATTTTAATATTTTTCATAATTTACCTAATTAAATATTGTAACTAATTTAATTATCTTTATGAATTTGAGTCATTTATAGCAATTAATTATGAATTTAGTAAAATAATTTATCTTTGATATTTTATACATATATATTATAATGTAACACAATAATTTGTATTAAGAATTATAAATTAGATTCTAAAAGTATTTGCACAAATCATTTAACATAATATTTTATTATTTTTACATTTTATGTAGTCAATATTATATTACATAATCTACAACGTACATGAATTGTTTATCATAACAATAGTAAAAACCAGTATTTATAATTACTATTATAATTATCATTAATAAAACGTGAATTTTTTAACTAGACTATAGATCTAAAGACTATAGTATTATATTGCCAATATATAAGTCACATAATAAGTAGGTTTTTCAATTTTTATTTTTTATTTTTATATACGAATTATAATATGTTATGTTCGACAAGGACGGTATATGTTAAGAGCTCATTTCAGTGAAAAATCATTTTTCGTCAAGCTGAAAAATGTACTGCCATTATATTTTATGTATTTTATCTTAAAAAGGAGTCTCCGCATGTGTGGAATTCAAATGAAAAACATAACATAATAGATAACGACATAATAATATATATTATAAAACTCATAAAATATATGTGTGTCCGAAACTCCCGATATCATCTGGAGAACATATACAACGCGAATAACATATATTACGAGCGTACCCCGTCGTGCTCGCAGCACATGATGAAATGTGATTTATCGTACTAATTCTAGTGATTCAGCCCCTCGGGAGACTAGAGAGAGAGAGAAAGAATGAGAAAGAGTGAGAGTGTGTGAGAGAGAGAGAAAAAAACAGGGTAGTTCGCTGTACCCAGTGGGGTGCGCTATAAGACGACATTGTGTATAATATAATTTATATAATATACCAATAACCACACATGCACAATATATATATTATATACTTATATATATACACATATTACATACACATAGTGATAATCCAACATGTGTAATGCATAATCGTTTCATTCACTATTTTATGTACCTACTTAAACGATCAACATCCGTATTAATGAATTCGTTATCATCCGGAGGTCGTTGTAGCCCGCCTGGCTTACGCGCCTTGTTACAATATTACGGCCGAGTTATCGCTTTGTCGTAGCAATATAGTTTTTTGTCATTATCGGCGAATTAACGTCTGCCGCAGTCTACGCAATAAACCTATAGTAGGTACCTGTTTATGATACTTCACAGAGAGCTCTATTGTAATGGGTTGTAAAAAAAAAATTTAAAAAAACACTACATTTTGATTAGGGTCATTCAGTAATCATATTTTCTCAGGGCCAACTACAATACGCTTCCGGTCACCAATGTGAGATTTTGCAGAAATTAGTTCTCTAAAGTGAGAGTGCCTCCTAAACGATGAGGTCATATAGATAACAATACATTTTTCATACATACAGAATCTTGTAAGATAAAATGCATTACGTCTACCGTATTTTAAATTCATTAAATTCAATAAGTGTATCAGTACGATAGCGCCTACTTATAGGATAGATAAAACAAAATTCAAAAAAATAATTTTTTAACTTTAAGCCTCTAATATCATTAATATATTATCACTCGTATAGTTTATAATTTTATACACAGATAAATTAATATTTATAATTTACAACCGATAAGATTACATTTAACTATTGTCACTTTTATTATTTCAAAATAGTATTTATTTATATTTTTTATTACTTGACCTTAATGTGTCGCAATCGTTGTATAAGTATAGTATATTTACATTACGGTATTTCAATATTTGTTAAACTATATTTAAAACTGTCTTTAATTATTTCAAATATTAAAATATATACTGTGTTTTTATTTTTTTATTTAAATGGTTTCCAAAGTTGTGTTAAACTTAAAACTATAATATTACTTGTAGTAAATACAAAGCACAATCATTATGAGGCAAAGGTTTTATATAATTGTATGGTCTGTTTTTCTTCTATCTTCAAGGACAAGTTAAAATTTAAAAACTTTTAATGATCTCCGAAATTTAAATACTTGTTTGTGCAGAGATGATTAATTTTTTTATAAACATTTTTAGGTATACAAATTATTGTCTATATAAAGGTGCAATAGTCGTATAACTCTTTTGCAACTTGCAAGTAAAATAAAAATGATTTTCTTAATTATTATTGCAAATAGTAATATTTTTTAAATTAATCATTCTGTTTTTAAATAAAGTGAAATTAAATCATTGTTATTCTTTTTTAGTGTAAAATAAACAATAACTTATACAAATAAAAAGTACTTTATTTTCTTTGTATAAGCTTTTACATGTGTACATTTTTATTCATACCATGTTGTTTAAAAATTATTTATTTTATTTTTAATCATTTTTTAAATAACTTTTTTCTGTCCTAGTAATCATAATAACATTGAACTCATATATTTTAAGTTGAGTAAATCATGTGCTTAAAATACAACTACAATATTTTAGCTTCCCAGAATTAGTTTTTATAATTACCATTCAAAACCTACCAATAATACCAAATTTAGTATATTATCGTCAAAATGTAATTTGTTTTAATCGGCTATATGGGTTAACAGGGGTTATTATAAGGCGCGTCACCAAAAAAAAAAGTTCGACTTATTTTATTTTTTAGTTTGAAATCGTGCATTTTTATCTCGTGTCGGGTTAGTTCACAGTTTGATAACATCTAATTAGTAGTACACAAATATATAGCTAACACATTACAATATTACGAGTGATCAGATTTTTGACAAAACGATTCGCTGCAGTCTTAACGAAAAAAACTACTCGTACAACACGTGTCTAATCTACGAGCGAACTTGTCGAATCTAAACTCGTAGGTATAACAAGCGATCGCATCGGGCTATTTGATTTCAAATCTGCAGTGTTCGCGAATTTATTTTAAGCCGGTTTTTTCGTGCACAGCCAGTATATACAATATATCGAACGATCAGATTATTATTTTTTTTCTATCTCGCACAAACGCGTAAAGGTATAGGGGTATGCACAACAAGTGACGTGTGTGGAATCGATGAGAATATATTTTGTTATCACAGTATTGATGTGCATCAAACTCTTTAGGAATTGTATCTCGGTTGCGTTCAGGGAGCATTACCGGGCCGAGTTAATTTTCCAGTAACACTCGTCCTCCGGGTGCGCTCGTCACACAATATAATATTATGGTTACGCGGTACAGAGTAATATTTAAACATTATATACCTATGTTAATGGCACAACAAAAGCTGGTATCGCACGATTGCAGCAAGTCGAACGAGGCATCCGGGACCGTCGTGTAACGCGGACGAGTGGGTTATTCAATATGATATATGTTACATAACAATATCGGTGTAGAGGCATATGATATCGCATACGATTAAGGGTAGACGGCTGTTAGTGGGTAGTATAGGTGTGATGCCCGTAAACGGGTACGTTTCGGGCGAGGTTTTGGGTAACGATAATAACAATAGTAAAGATCATAGTATGAAACGAACGGCACTCACCCATCTTTCTGTTCGGCCGCCCGATCCCTCTGCCTGCGGTTCTTGAACCAGTTGGACACCTGCGTCGTGGTCAATCCGGTGGCTTCGGCCAGTTCCCTCTTCTCCCTGGGGCTCGGGTACGGGTTGCTGGCGTACCATTCGCGCAACACCATCCGGGACTTTTCCTTGAAACAGTAGCTGGTCTCCTCGCCGTCCCAGATGGTCCGGGGCAGCGGGAACTTGCGGCGGACCCGGTACTTGCCGACGGCGCCCAGCGGGCGGCCCCTGAGCTTCTCGGCCTCCACGTAGTGCGCCTTGAGCCAGAGGGCCTGCAGCTTGGGGTGGTTGTGCGCGGAGAACTGGTTGCTCTCCAGCAACCGGTACAGCTCCTTGAAGTTGCCGCGGTGGAACGCCACGATGGCCTTGGCCTTGAGCACGCTCTCGTGCTTGTGCAGCTTGTCGCAACTGGGCAGCGACCACAGGAACCGGCCCAGCCGCTCGATGTTGCCGGACTGCTGGAGCACCTCGCACACGCACGCCACCTGTTCCTGGGTGAACCCGAACGACGGCAACAGCGGCGTCATGGCGCTACCGCCGCCGCCGCCGCCGCCTCCGGAGCCCGCGCCGCCGCCGCCGCCCGACGACGAACCGGGCGAATGCTGCTGGGGCTGGCTGGCGGTGCTCGCGTGGTGAGGCGATCCCTGCAGGCCGCTGATGATGGTGGGCCCGCCCGGATGGTCCACGTTGAAACTGCCGAAGTTGCCCGCGGTACCGCTGCCGATCAACATCACTGCTGTGCATCCACTCGGCGACTCAGCGACTCGACGACGGCATGGCACCGACTGGACGCGTAGGTGTGTTAGAACGTCGGACGGCTCCGGATTGCGGTTGTCCGACGGTGTAGGTAGGAAAAAATAATAATCGTGAAAAAAAATTCACAGATAATTCGACGGCGGAATTTAATCGGACGTCGAAAACCGTGCGGCGAGTGTCGCGGTCGGGTGTGGTGAACCTGCGGCTCGCAGATAATTACGTGCCGACCGGAACGCGACGGTACTACAAAATATCGACGAGTCCGTGAACGCGGAACCGAACGGACAGAACGACGAGGAAGCAATAATAATAGACCGCGACTACAGAGACATCCGCACTGTGCAATAATAATATTATTATTGTGTTTGCGCGTAAAACGTTATATTACTACTGTTGTTATTATCACTGTAAATTATATTTTTTTTCTCCCGACGATCGCGCGATCTGCTGTGCGTGTGTACAACGTATAGGCTTTGCGGCCGACTAACGCGACGACGACGACTCCCGGGCCAGCCAGCCAGACGACTCGACACACGCGCACCCCACCACCGACGTCGCCGCCGCCGCGGCCCGGTTACCGTGGTAACCGCTGCCGCCAGGGCCGTGCGCGACCACTTCGGCCGAACGGGTAGGCGGTCCCCCCCGCGGTGGGCGCGGTCTCTGGGAGGCGGCGCGCGCTTAGTGTTGCCGCTGCCGCCGCCGGTGGACATGCGGATTTGCGAGCGTCTGCGGGGCCGCGGACTCGCGGTGCACAATAATATTATTAATAATTATACCTACAATGCACATTTTTCACGTTCAAATGTTATTATTTTTTTTTTCCACCGAATTAATCGTGAGAATATGACGTATATTATGACGGGACGACACCGCAATATTATAATGTTACTACACATGCAATTATAGGTATTTAACGAAACTATAATAATCGTGTGAAATGGTTCTTCCTCTTTTTTCATATTTCCGTGGTCAAATTAATAGATAGGTGTATAATGTGTAAACGTGCATAAGAATAGGGTGTGTATATGATATAGGTGTTCTGTGATGCGTGTATGTTTTAATATAATATATGATGTCTGCGTCGGTTAATAGTCTGGGTTTGGAGAAAATCTGAAATGCAATTTAACAGAACCTTCCTTTATAATAACGTTTCTACAATTTCAACTCGTCCATAATGGCGATTCGTCGAAGCGAATATTACACATGTATATAGGTATTAGTCTATGGATAGATAATCAGTCTTATTGGAAAGTTGCTGAAGTATAGGAACCTGTGGCATCTCTCCACCCAACTCATAAGTCACAAATGAAATCACAATTTATTTAAGCCTTATATTATACATGTCTATTTTAAGACTTTGAAAAAAAACCGTTCATAGATCCTATAATATTGATGAGAAATAATTTTATATTCATAGGTATTAACTTTGATATTCCAATTCTTAAATATTAGACGAATTACCAGTGTACCTATAAGTACGACGCCTCAACAGAATGACAAAATCCTCCACGCAGACCGGCATAATCGGCCCAACAACTTTTTAACTTAAATAGTCTCTAACCACTATCTGTAAGCCCCAGCTGCAACCATATAGTAGACTTAAACAAACGAAAACTAAAAACAATTTTTAAATACTTTTGTTCTTTGAGTGTCACCAAACTATTAATTATATTAATTCAAGTCGTTCGCAAGCCATATGTACAAGATGTACCTATGCATCTCTTTTTTACATATTATTCTATAGATTATATTCTAAAAATAAATACAAATATTATATACTTGAGTAAGTACCTTTATATGTTTTTTCTTCATATAATAATACCTAATAACTTTTTTTTTTATTATTCGAGATTCAACTTATTTGTTATGGAAATAATATTATTTATGTACTCTTATACTTTTTGTGTTTATTGTGTTTGGTTAAATAGTATGTAAATATTATAATATAAATAGCCACATACGTTTATCATTAAGATTTATCATAATATGTTGCGGACCAAAATCAACGAATATGTATAGGAAGTAGGAACTATAGCGGACACCTACATATACTAGGTAACGCTGTATACTCATTGGGTCCCTGAGCGGGAAAAATATAATACACTAACTGTAAATCTGGAGATTTTTTGAGTAAAATATAAAATGAATTATAATATACCAATATATGGAGACGACTTTGATATCGCTCATAATATTTGTATGACTTTCGTTAGATAACAACATGTCAACATATATTACATAGGCCAGGAATTGTATTTTTACCGTAACCGTCGCTAAGTATAATAATTGCAGCCAACTATTATAATTATAATATTATTATACTCTCTAGTTTACGAGGTACACCGAGCATCGTGGATGAAGTTATGAAAGAAATAAAAGTGTTTTTTTGATCGATGAATACAAATTTCGTCTTATAAACATTGATCGAAAAATCAAAAAGGTACATGCGGATGTGTTTTTAAAATTTGACGGGACCCATTTAGTATTACAATATGGACTCGATTAGTATAATTATACCTAACATTTCAAGGGCATCAATTGTAATATATTATACACCTTAAAATAATCCAGTACTCAATTTGTTCTAAAAAGTTTTATTGGGACTCAGTTCGTATGCAGCAATACTGCCTTAAGTAACAGTGTAGCACACGCAATTCGGGATGGTTAGGAACGTAAGCGGTCGTAATCGGTGAATACAACCCTACATGAAATATTTTCCCGATACCTATGTCGAGAAACACCAAGGTTAACCGGTCGGATAGTGGTACCTATGAGTATTTATTTTATTTCGCCAATAACTAATTCAGTGGCACATAATAAATAGTATGATAGTTTCAATTATATAAACACGTTGTCTAAGAACCTTGTTTATGTGAATACAATATATAGTTTGCTTTGAATGGACTATGTAAATTATTATAAAAATAACCGTGTAGTGGCTATAGATGAGATTTTTGTTGGTATTTTAGACGCAATTTAATACCACAGCGTGGTAGCCATTTATGGATATTATACATTATATATCGTTGTACTTACCTATAAGCTATAAACTATAATTTCTCATTTAAATTACTTAAACAATTAATGTACCCATGTCTTAAATATATTTTTAGTAGAAACCTAAGTTATTAATATGTATTGTGTATACAATATACATACCTAAATTAGTTATTCATATGTCTACTTAATCGGGAAGTTATGAAATACTGTCCCTATCTAGTCTGTGTGTGCATTATTAGTAATAATTTATTACTATCTGTATCGTATATAATATTTAAATATAATATTATACTATGTATATAACTTTAAATTTGCTGCAGGTAAATTCCACTTTTATTCTTTACAGCAGATCAATAGTATACTTACTAATATATTATATAATTATATTTGTATGCTATTGCTGTACAAAATATTCGATTAATTATTGTTTTTTTTATTAAAAACATACTATTATTATTACCGAAGATCTATACAAAAATATGAATAAATCAGTTTGTATAGAAATTTGTATTTTGTATAATAGCCATGTATATACTGTATGTTATTTACCTTAAAAAAAGCTTTAAAAAATATATAAATGGTAGGTAGTTATATATTTCTGTAAAATGAAATGTGTGGAGTGCAATTTATTATTAGTTATTTTCAATAAATTGTGTTTGAAATGAAGTATGGTTGTAGGTATATATAAATATTACTAATTATAACAACTATTTTTTATTGTATTGATTTCATTGCGATAAATTTAAATAATAATAATCCTTTTCCTGACATACTACATAGGTAATGTTGTTTTATTCACATAGGTAGGACAAGGTAGGTACACATAAAATGTGCAGTTAAGCTCATAACCGTTAATTCCAGCTTTTTTTTTATATTATATCTAATTCCTAGTATTAATCAGTTATACCTATAATAATAACAATAGAATATTTAAAAAAAACTTGACATCGATTTCATGAATTGGCTCAGTGCTCTGCTATTCTTACATTCAATCATAAAAAACAATTACTTTAGATCTATAGCAAAGATGACACTAAGAAATGTGGTTGGGTGGATGAGAAGAGGACTAGCAATATTCTCGTCATGGTTACCGGATTTCTGTTGTTTTCATTATTTGGCATATTCTTAATGCATTTTCACGGCACGTTTAGTTGTTTGATTTATTTTTATCTGAAGTCACGTCACGTTAACATTTTATGAATTGTCGTTTTTAAATAATTATAACATTATAATGAATACAGCCTCCATTGAACCAAACAGATCGACGGTTAGTTCAAAAATAAAGGTCTATTTTGAAAACACCATCGGAAAAGGCACATTTGGGCAAGTCAAGTACTGTGTTGCAAACGTAAATAACGAAACCATTGGTTTTGCAGTAAAAATCATCGATAAAAAGTCAGCAGTATATCAAAGCAATAAGTCGGCGATTAACCGTGAAATTATCATTTCGAAAAAAGTCAATCATCCAAGCCTAATAAAGTTCATTAAAATTATCATACATCGTCATCATGTCTACATGTACATGGAATACTGCAAGTATACTGTCTTATTACTGCTCGTTCTCTAATTAAGTGGATGTGATAACATAGTACCAACTTGCTCAATTGATATTTGTAAATATTCAATACTATACCTACCTTAACCTATATATATTTAATATTTATGTATATATACAATTCAAGTTATTGTTTTTGTATAGTCTTCAATCCATTGTTTTAAAAATCATTTGCCATTTACATGTACCAATTGTTAAATCCTTGCACCTGTAAATTATATTTTGTATTGTAACCTTAAAATGTAGTTATCTGAAAATAATAAAACAACATTTTGGTACCTACCTAACTAATTATTATTTACATAGTTTTTAAATACTGCATGTAGGTTACTGACCAACCTAAACATAATGTACAGGGTCTTAAGGTTTCAAATTATACATCATGTAAATTCGTATTTTGCGTTTAGAAATGGCGACATGGCTAAAACTGTTGAAAATTACGGTCCCTACGTAGAACGTGATGCGCAATTTCTGTTTTCCCAAATCGTCGCAGCCATCGAGTACCTTCATGGCCTGGACATAGCGCACAGAGACATTAAGCCAGAAAACGTATTACTGAACCATCGAAATGAAGTGAAAGTGGCCGATTTCGGGTTGTCGATTTTTTGCAGAGATTCGATCAGCAATAAACGAAAATGGTCGTTAACTCGCTGTGGCACAAAGATGTTTATGCCACCGGAAGTATTGATTCCGAACAACGGATATAACGCCAAATTCTTCGATATTTGGTCAATGGGTGAGACACACTAGCATGACGTATTTTGAATCACTACATTTTAATAGGATTATTTCGAACCACAGTTTTTCCTTTTACTATTGTAAAAGTCGAAAATGAGATTTTCCAAGTATAGCTATATCTACATGCCTACCACATAGCTCATTACGATATATGACATTCAATTTCTAGACCACTCTTTTTACACCTGCAGGAAGCGTGTACACATCATT